GTCACGTGTTTTGTTGTGCTTAGTTATCAACTTATTATTAATCATGTAACGCTTTTCACCATGTGTCATCAACATAGATAATGCAGCCAATGGGATTATAAGGGAAAAAACATTTCTACTTCCGAACGTTACAAAATCGTAAGAGCACTTAAGGAGGTTATAAACGTTGATTATAAACATCTACCAAAAAGTGAAAAAGAATAATAACAAATCAAAAAACAAGAACAACATACAAGAAATGGCTTCTTCTCTGCTTGCAAAGCTTCTTCTCCTCCTCACCACACTTGTAACCATGTCAGTAATCTCTATAGCCAACGAAGAACTAATGATGCAACAATGCCACAACTCCGACAATCCCACCTTATGTCTTCGTTGCGTGAGCTCCGACCCTAATTCCCAAGAAGCCGACCAAGTGGGTCTAGCACGAATCATACTTAGATGCATCAGCTCTCACCTCCTCACTCTCACCAACAACACTTCCGGTTTAGCCTCAAAGCACCACCGGAATCCCAAGGCTAAAACAGCGTTGAAACAGTGCGTTTCGGGTTACGCAATGGCTAAGCATGGCGTGAGAAAAGCCGATGCTCACTTGATAGCCGGAGAGTACGACAAGGCTGCGTATGACGTCAGCATGACGATGGTGGCTCCTCCGGTCTCGTGCCGTGACAGTCTTGTGACACTCAACATCGATTTGCCTTCTGGTTTCCGTTACCATACGGAGGTTTACTTGGCGTTGACTCAAGCTCTGCTTAGGATCATTGATCGTTTCTAAACGGATTATATTTGGATGATCTAAACTATGGTTTTAACATATATTCATCGTCTTATTTAATATCATCAATGTTTAGTCCTCAAATTTTAAATCCAAGTTTTGTTAATTCTCCTCTTGGTTTTTATGATTTCAAATTGCGCTCTGTTTTAATCTCTCTATGATCTTAATTCTTGTCAAATTTTGTTTGCATTTTTGTGAATTATTCATTTCATATATAGGTTTGTTCAATTGTGAATTTTACATTTTACTCAAACACAATTGATGCAATCACTGAATGATGCTACATAACACTGTTTTCTCTACAAGAGTTCTTTCTAACAAGGGATACTTTTTTTTAGCTCGAAGAGCCAAATAACAAACGTCTTTAGAGATTCTCTATCTTCTTCATTGATCTCTGTTTCTGATTTAACTTCTTTTAAAGCTGTGGGAAATTAAGAGAAACTTGGTATTCTATTTTTTGGGAATAAAGAAAGATAGTGTTTGGACGAAACTCGAACCCGGTTGCATGAACATATAGAACAAAATCAGGATATATCTTTCAACACAAGATCTAGCTACCAGCTTTTAATTTATATTGGCAGTATAAACAATAGAAAACGGTATACTCTTCTAAAGTGGATTTAATGTTACATCAAAAATGAAAAACCAAAATTTTTCTTGCTTTTTTTTTATTCTTCAAGGGAACAGCTACATGCCTATAAGATTCATTTTCTCAGTCAACATGCACCAACAACAATAGCCAAACACAACTTGCACAATTTCATTTTGAGCTTTCTTTTTTTCTCTTTTCATTGTTAATTATCTCTCTCAGGATTTTCCCTAATACCCTCCTTTTCCTTTTTCACCTCAACAACAAGAAATCTGAAATTTTGTGTTAGTTTATATTACGCTTTAAAGAGTTATTGACTGAATAGATCAG